GGCATTTCCCGGTTTTTTTCCTCGGAATTCCGGGAGCTCCCAAAATTTTTGGACCTTCCCAAAAAACCACCAAAATTTCCCAAAAAACCCCGAAAATTCCCCAAAAAAATCCCCAAAAATTCCCCAAAAAACCCCAAAAATTCCCCAAAAATTCCCCAAAAATTCCCCTAAAATTCCCCAAAAAATCCCAAATTCGGCCGTTCCGGGGCGGATTTTTCCGGGGTTTTTTTGGGGGATTTTTGGGGGGTTTTTTTGGGGGATTTTTCCGGGGTTTTTTTGGGGTGAATCCCCCAAATTTGGGGTTTTTAGAGGGCGAGCTGGCAGTGGCAGAGCTCCTTGTACATCAGGCGGCGCAGGTGGGGCATGTCCTGCTGCGTGAAGCTGAACGGCCGCCCCAGCGCCAGGAATTTGCAGTACTGGAACCAAAATTCCCAAAAAAAAAATCATTTAGGATGAGGAAAAATAATTAAAATTAAAATTTCGGGGGGTTTGGGGAGGGGAAAGTAAAAATTGGGGGGAAAAAGGGGGGAAAAAAGCGGAAAAAATGGGATTTTTTTCATGGGTTTTGTGCTTGGGAAGGTGAAAAAATTGCGAGTTTTGAGGTGGGAATCTGACATAAATCCCAATGAAAATATCGTGGTTTTAACCCAAAAATAATTGGTAAAAATTGTAGCGAAATTTAACAGAAATCCCGACCGCGAAATGCACCAAAATCCCCTTGAAATCGCATAAAATCCACCCAAAAAAAACCCAAAATCCACCCAAAAATATCCCCAAAATCCACCCAAAAATATCCCCAAAATCAACCCAAAAATCCACCCAAAAAAACCCCAAAATCCACCCAAAAATATCCCCAAAATCAACCCAAAAAATCCCCAAAATCCACCCAAAAATATCCCCAAAAAACATCAAAAAAAATCCCCAAAATCCACCCCAAAAAACCCCAAAATAATCCCAAAAAATTCCCCAAAAATTCCCCAAAATTCCCAAAATTCCCAAAATTCCCAGAATTGCCCAAATTCCCCCAAATCCCCTCACCTGCAGCACGAAGGCGCCGCAGTCGCTGTCGTTGTTCTGCCGGGCGACGTTCTGGGGGAAAAAACCCAAATTTGGCCATTTTGGGGCATTTTTGGGGGAATTTTGGAGCCTCCCAGGACGGAATTTTTTGGGGGAATTTTGGGTGATTTTTGGGGGATTTTGGGGGATTTTTTGGGGGTAATTTTGGGGGTTTGGGGGGGAATTTTTTTGGATTTTTTTTGGGTTAATTTTGGGCGTATTTTGGGGGATTTTTTGGGGGTAATTTTGGGTGGAAATTGGGTGGATTTGGGGCGGGATTTTGCGTGGATTTGGGGCGGGATTTTGGGTGGATTTTGAGTGGATTTTGGGTGGATTTGGGGTGGATTTGGGGCGAGATTTGGGATGGATTTTGGGGGATTTTGGGATGGATTTTGGGTGGATTTTGGGGCGGGATTTTGGGTGGATTTGGAGTGGATTTCGGGTGGATTTGGGGTGGATTTTGGGTGGATTTTGGGCTGATTTTGGGTGGATTTTGAGTGGATTTTGGGTGGATTTTGGGTGGATTTTGGGGTGGATTTGGGGTGGATTTGGGGTGGATTTTGGGTGGATTTTGGGTGGATTTTGGGTGGATTTGGGGCGGGATTTTGGGTGGATTTTGGGCTGATTTTGGGTGAATTTTGGGTGGATTTTGGGTGGATTTTGGCCGTTTTTGGGGCTCCCCAATCACCATTTTGAAGGCTCCCCTCCAGCCCTCGCGGAAATCCGGCCGCTCCTTCTTGTCCGCCTCGGCCTGGAGGTAGCGGCAGATGTGCTGGGGGGCGGGGCCAAAAGAGGGCGTGGTCAGTGAGGGGCGTGGCCAAACAGGGCGTGGCCAACCCCCACACCCACACAGGTCTCCTCCTCCGAGCTCCGCCCACAAAAAGCCACGCCCACAATGCCAAACATGGTAGTGCTCCACCCAGCCCTTAGGCCACGCCCCTTAGATGTGATGACCACGCCCCTTATTTGGTTATTTAACCCCGCCTTTCACCAAACCCATCCTGAACCACGAATAAACCATGGGCGGGGCCAAACTCAAACCCCGCCCCTTACTGACTTCGAAACGCCAAACCACACCCACTTTTTGGGTCTGACCACGCCCCCATTTAACCCTTTCTGCCATCAAACCCATTTCCAACCACGAATAAACAACGGGCGTGGCCAAACCAAAACCCCACCCACTCTGATTCTGAGACGCCAAACCACACCCACATTTTGGGCCTGACCACGCCCCCATTTAACCCTTCCCTTCACCAAACCCATCCTGAACCACGAATAAACCATGGGCGTGGCCAAACCTAAATCCCGCCCACTCTGATTTTAAAACACCAAACCACGCCCGGGTTTT